AGATTTCCCGCAAGTTTTCACTAATCTATCGGGCAAGCCGTGATGGATTTAAGGATCAAAATTTTCGCAGGATATGTTCTTCCAAAGGTCCGACCGTTGTTATTGCAAAGGTTATGAATCATCCAAATATATTCGGCGGCTATAATCCTTCTTCTTGGGTTAATACTAGTTATCAAAATTACAATCATGCAGATAACAGTTTCGTTTTTGAGATGCCAGATGGAAAGTCAACCGCAGGAGCACGCATTGGCAGGTGTGGTTATTTGAGTGGTCGACGATACAACGGTTATGGTCCGTTTTTTGGCAGCAACTTTTATATAAAGGAAGAAAAATGGAGTTCGAATACATCAGAATGTGATCGTTATGGCATTGCATGTAGTGTTGCTAGTGGCACTCTTGAACAATACGAAGTTTTTATAGTAAGAAACTGAGCTTAAATCAAACGCTACTTAAAATGCTTAATACCACGTGTCTTTAACTTTGTTTCATTGCTCATAGCTTAATTTTTTATTAAGCGAGTTTTCCGTTTAAATGTAAGTAGAACGATAATAATAAACTAAATTAAGGTTATCCGATCCGAAATTCTGTTTTTTGAATATAATGGAAAATTTTAACAATTGTTTTGTTGGCAGAAAAAGTATTATGATCATTTTTTAAATAATAAATTGCGTGCAAACTCTTAAATACACGTGATTATTATTTTTATTGACTATTTACATCATTGTTGTGTGTGGGTTGACCACACACGGATAATAAACAATAAATAATTTCCTATATTAGACTTTTAAGGAATGGACAGTCGTTGATAATATTAGTAGTGCGGTACAATTGACAGATAAGAATCCAGACCGATATAATAATGATGATGATGATATCTAAAGTATACGCTAACCATGATGATGTATTACACAGCTTTAATGTAATCAACCGTGTGCGTGAGATTGTCCATTATTTCCAATTACAGCAAAAATTTGTCGTTGATAACTTTCTCAATACTATACCAAAGAAGAACCATTCTGCTGTACATAAGTAGAAGCACTTTTGGAACCGATTATATTCTCACGCGCAACATGTCCAAAACGTTTTACACTCAATTTTTAAGTAATTTTTCTCAGTTGTTTGAAAGTGGTAAAAGCTTTGATCTCCTTTTATATGCAGGCAGTGAACGAGATAGTAATAGAAAGGAATTCAAAGTACATACACAAATACTGTGCGCCCAATCAGCTTATTTCCAAGCTGCACTATCAAAAGAGTGGCTCAAAAAGGCAGGTGATTATTATGTTTTTGAAAAAGCAAACATTGAGGCCGATGTGTTTGAAATTATTCTAAGGTAAAATGCAGTGTTCAAAACCCGTAGAGTATGCACAGCATATTTACGTCTAATTTCTCTTACGCCATGTCGTTATAGATATCTATATACAGGAGAGGTGAATATAGAAAAGTGTGACGGATTTCAGATTGTTAAATTACTAGTTGCATCGGACGAACTGGGTTTGGTTGATCTACTCCAATTCGCGCAGAGTTATCTTATTGAATCGAGACAATCATTCAACGTTGATCAACTAGTCCGGATTCTCAAATTAATTTTCCGACTGGAATCATGCAAAACGCTCAGACAGTTGTGCCTTGATGCATTTTGCAACGACCACGCAAAGCTGTTCGGTTCTGACGATTATTTGACATTGGAAGAAGACATATTTATCCAGATACTGCGAAATGAGAACTTGCGTATGAAAGAAGTTGACTTGTGGAAATATGTCTTGAAATGGGGCATAAGCAGACATCCAGAGCTGAAAAACTCACCGGCTGAATGGTCGACAGAAGGCGTAAATCGAATGAAAAAGACATTGGCGCCGTTAATTGAATGCATTCGATTCTTTGCAATGTCCGCCGAGGAATATTATGACGAAGTTAGGCCATACAAAAAATTATTTTCTAAAAAGCTAAGGGAAGAAATGTTGCAATTTATCATGCTACCATCCAGGAAACCAAGCGATATCATGACTCGAACCAGATTGTTAAACTCGACATTGATTAGTTGTTCTATTGCAGCTCTCATTGCCGGATGGATTGATTCAAAGATAAAAACCACTTCATATGACGAGATTCCCTATGAGTTTACACTTATCTACCGGGCGAGTCGTGATGGATTTAATGATCAAAAATTCCGTAGCATGTGTTCCAACAAAGGTCCGACAGTTGTTATTGCGAAAGTATTGAATCAGCCGTATATATTTGGTGGCTATAATCCTTCGTCTTGGGTCGGTTATAATTTAGTTAGCGCTCAATGTTGCAATCGTGGTACCAATAGTTTCATTTTTGAAATTCCTGACGGAAAGTCGACTACGGGAGCACGTATTGGTAGGTTCCGACGTGAAAATGGATACTACGCGGATCATCACAGCAGCCATGGTCCACGCTTTGGTAGTAATTTCTGTATAAATGGACAAGCATGGAGTTCAAATATGTCGAGGAATATTGGCATTTCACGAAGATGGCCTTCAAATACTAATACATCAATATGTTGTACCTATGGAATTGCATGCAATGTTACGCGTGGAACTCTTGAGGAATACGAGGTTTTTACTATAAAAAAAAAACTTTCAAACGGCGTAACCGTCCTATAACCATTGCAAATAGTGAACTTCTGGTTTACGTTCTTATATTCTCGTTGATTTTTTATTTCTTATTGTAGCAACCAATGTCCATTGAATTCAAAATTTTGGATAACATGGTTAAGCGGACGTTATTAGAAATTTAGAAATACGTTTGTTATAATTTTATTTGTACGTGGTATAATGCGGTGAATAAATGCTAGTAAAATTTTTGCACTAAGCGAAGCGGTTTTTCAAATTCTGTGACACACAAATTTGAGCGTTCTGACAGTTTCCCTGACAGTTTTCCTGAAATGGAATGAGAATTTAGTCACAAACGTGCTTGCACTCTGATCACATTCTCCGCAAACATGTCTGGAAATTTTTATGCTCAACATTCAAATAATTTCTTAAAGTTTTTCAAAAGCGGCAGAGGCTTTGACCTCATTCTATATGTAGGTTACGGACAAGATAGAAGAGAATTCAAAGTACATACTCAAATACTGTATGCGCAATCAAAATATTTCCGAGCTGCGCTATCCGACAAATGGCTCAAAAGGAAGGGGAATTGTTACGTCTTTGAGAAATCCAATGTCGAAGCTGATGTCTTTGAAATCATTCTAAGGTAAAGTGTAATGCATTAAGCAACCCGTCTCTGTTGCAGCGGATTCATGTCGTATACCGTGACGTGTTATACTACAGATATCTCTACACGGGGGCGGTGAATATAGAGAACTGTGATGGATCTCAGATTCTCAAACTGTTGGTCGCATCGGACGAAATGAACTTGGGTGATCTGCTTCACTTTGCGCAAAATTACCTTATTGAGTCAAGGAAACCCTACATACTTGAACAACCAGTCCAGGTACTTGAATCAATTTTCCGACTCGAATCGTGCAAACCGCTTAGACTCTTTTGTCTCGATGCAATCTGCGACGATTGCACAAAGTTGTTCGAATCTGAAGATTATTTGACGCTGGAAGAAGACATATTTGCTCAGATTTTGCAGTATGATAAATTATATGTGAAAGAAGTTGAATTGTGGAAATATGTCTTGAAATGGGGCGCAATCAGACACTCAGAACTGGAAAAGCCTCCGACGGAATGGTCGATAGATGGTGTAAATCAAATGAAGAAGACATTGGCGGCGTTGATTGAATGCATTCGGTTCTTTACAATGTCCGCCGAGGAATATTATGACGAAGTTAGGCCATACAAAAAACTATTCTCTAAGAAGCTAAGAGAAGAAATGTTGCAATTTATCATGTTACCGTCCAGAAAACCCAACGATATTATGGCTCAAGCTAGAGCCAAACTGATAGATTCGAGATTAGTTCGGTATTCTGTTATGGCTTTTATTGCTAGATGGATTGATCCTGCATACGACGGGATGTCCTATGAGTTTACACTAATCTATCGGGCGAGTCGTGATGGATTTGATAATCAAAATTTTCGCAGAATATGTTCTTCCAAAGGTCCGACCATTGTTATTGCAAAACTTGTGAATCATCCGAACGTATTTGGCGGCTATAATCCTTCTCCTTGGGTTAATGATAGTTATCACTATTACAGTAACGCAGATAACAGTTTCGTTTTTGAGATGCCGGATGGAAAGTCAACCGCAGGATCACGCATCGGCAGATGCGTTAATCTCGGTGGTCGTCAATACAACGGTTATGGTCCGTTTTTTGGCAGTAATTTTTATATAAATCAACAAACGTGGAGTTCAAATACGTCGGGATGTAATCGCTACGGAATTGCATGTAGTGTTGCAAGTGGTACTCTTGAAGAGTACGAAGTTTTTACAGTAGAAAAAAAAGATCAATAAAGAAAGCGATTAAACGCTACTCTATATTGAACTTACAATATCTGCATCATGCGGATTTTATAATATACAATGAGAGTAGCAGATTTTATATAAAAAGACAAGCAGATATATATAATACTCTGAATCTTCGCTCAAGACCACGCGCAATGTTTACACTAACTTTGTCCAAACACAATTAAAACCTCCTTGCTTTTGACCAGTGTATTAGTACAATATGCAAGCGATTTATATTCTTATAAGTCTCCTGATCCAGTTCTGGTTATTCCTTATCAGGCTACATATCCTGCGAAAATTTTGATCCTTAAATCCATCACGGCTTGCCCGATAGATTAGTGAAAACTTGCGGGAAATCT